AAAAAAAGAAAATGTTGGAGGAGATGTGGGAAAATTGGGACACTTATGCACTGTTGGTGGAGTTGTGAACTGATCCAACCATTCTGGAGAGCAATTTGGAACTATGCCCAAAGGGCAACCAAACTTTAATCCAGCAATATCACTACTAGGTTTGTATCCCAAAGAGATCATAAAAAAGGGGAAAGGACATGCATGTGCAAAATATTTATAGCAGCCCTTTTTATAGTGGCAAAATATTGGATATTTAGAGGATGCCCATCAATTGGGGAATGGTTGAACCAAACTGTGGTAGATAAAAGTAATGGAATACTATTATACAATAAGAAATGATGAACAAGCAGATTTCAGAAAAACCTGGAAAGACTTGTACAAAGTGATGCAAAGTAAAATGAGCAGAGCTAGGAAAACAATGTACACAGTATCAGCAATATTGTGTGATGATCAGCTATGAATGACTCAGCTCTTCTCAGCACCACGATGATCCAAGACAAGTACAAAGGACTCACGAAGGAAAATGCTATACATATCCAAATAAAGAACTGGTGGACTCTAAAAGCAAATTGAAATATACTTTTTTCAATTACTTTATTCTTTCTTGTAGTTTTTTTTTCCTTTTGATCTGTTTCTTCTTTCACAACTGTGACTAATACGAAAATATGTTTTACACGACAGCACATGCATAGCATATATCAAATTGCCTACCATTTGAAGAAGAGGGGAGGGTAGGGAGGGAAGGAGAAAAATTCAGAACTCAGAATCTTGTAAAAATGAATGCTAAAAATCATCTTGACATTTAATTGGGAAAAAAAAACAAAATACTTCAAAAGCCAAAAAAAAAAAGAAGAAGAAGAAGAAAAAGAAGTTTCCATTCTAGCTCTGCTACTAACTACATGACCTTAGGCAAGTGAATTAGCCTCTCAGCCATAATTTCATAGATACATAGCATGGCAGAGCTAGAAGGGACCTTAGAGATCAACTTGTTTAATCCCTTAATTTTAAAGGTGAGAAAAGAATCCCAGTAGCTTGTAAATAACGGTGTTGGGACTTGAAATCAGACCACTGCACTCTTTAATTTCACCTTAAAACCAGATTTCCACATCAGCAGAATGATGGATAAGGTACTGAGGTTCAACTCTAAAATCTCATGGTCCTTTAAAAAAAGGATCATAATTTAGCTGTAAGAAATGGCTGACTAGGTAAAGGAAATGACAAGGGAAATATTCAGAAATGAACATGATGTCAAAATGAAAAAGCATCATTTTTAATGGGATGATAGATTTAGAGCTAAAACAGACCTAAGAAGCTCTCTAGTACAACCCATTTAATTTACAGATGAGGAAACTGAGTCTTAGAGAAGTTAAGTGTAATATAATAAGCCCGTGATAATAGAAGTTGTAGTAAGTGACTGAGAGAGGAGTTGAATCCAGATCCACTGGCTGTCAATCCAGCATGTTTTCTCCCAGAGGAAACAAAAGGTTACCAATTTTGGATCCCCATGTCTGCCACCTAGTTGTCTCCAAGTGGAATCTCTCATTTCAGAAGCTATAACATTTCCCAGCCCTTTCTTGTTCTGGTGGTGGTGGTGGTGCCATGGTAACAAAGAAAGACGTCTCTCCCTTCTTATACAACAACAGTCAGAGGTATTTGAAGAATTCAATGTGAAGTGTTCTCATTTCAGGGTTGGCAGACCTCTAGAAAAGTTAATGGAAGAGATTTCTACCTCCACGGTTTATAAGCATCACTTTTCTTCTGTCTCTGCTGCCAGTGGTCCTTAAAATACAGCAGGATCTATGATTTCATGGGGAAGGAAGAAAGGATTGCTATAGTGATATCATCTTCTGTCATTGATATATATGCCATGCAATGGTGCTTTTTTGGTTCTATCACCCCAAGGAAGGTAATACAGTATAATTGAATAAGTCTTTGTATTTGGACTCACAAAATATAGGTTCAAGTTTTAGCTATGCCACTTACCTGGTTGTGTAATTTCATATTCTAGAGCCTCAGTTTCCTCATGTGTAAAATGGAGATAAAGTGCTTTTCTACCTAGCTGATAGGACTATTGTGAGAATCAAGTGAGTGGAAGACATGTTGCCAACCTTAACATATCCTGAGGACTGGGATTGTATGTTTTATTACCTTTGTATCTGCCACTTTGCCTGGCACAGAGTTATAGTCAAGTCAACAAGCATTTATTTGTTGTTGCAGTTCAGTCATTCAGTCATGTCCAACTCTTTGTGACCACGTGGACCACAGCACACCAGGTCCTTATCCTCCACTACCTCTCGAAGTCTATCCAAGTTCATGTTCATTTCTTCTATGACACTATAGATCTCATCCTATGCCATTCCCTTTTTCCTTTGCTTTCAATCTTTCCCAACATTAGTTTTTTCTAATGAGTCCTTTCTTCTCATTATGTGGCCAAAATATTTATGCTTCAGCTTTAGTATTTGACCTTCCAGTGAATAGCCTGAATTAATTTCTTTAAGACTGATTTGATCTCCTTGCTGTCCGAGGGACTCTCAAAAGTCTTCTCCAGCACCGCATTGCAAGTGTCAGTTCTGTGGTGCTCAGCTTTCATAGCCATACATTGCTACTGGAAGAACCATAGCTTTGACTGTACACACCTTTGTCAACAAGGCAATATCTCTGCTATTCAGTATGTCATCCAGATTTGCCATAGCTTTACTTTGGAGAAGCAAGCATTTATTAAGCACTTACTTTGCCAGACACCATACTAAGCACTGGGAATTCAAATATCAGCAAAAAGAAAGGTAGTCTTTGCCCTCAAGGAGCTTATATTTTAATGTGGGACCTGAAAAGGGGCTGGGGTTGGAGATGAAGATACTCAATGTGGGCATAGTAGAGAAAGAACAGTCAGAAGTAGAGGCTGAAAAGAAATGAAGATGTGATAGGCCTGGGCCTCTCCTTTAAAATAGAGGTTCTGAGAAGAACCTGACGGTGGAGGAGAACCTTGAAAGGGTAGAGGGTAATTCCAATGGAAGAAGTAGTCTAAGTGTGAATTGAGCTTCCAGGGTGAAGAGGTTTCTATAGCATAATAGACAATATCCTATGGAAAGTCAAGAATACTACCTGGAAAAGAATAAGGTATGTGGTGGACACTCAATAAATATTTATTATAGGTGACTAAGTTATTTTGACTGTTAAAAATACACAAATTAGAAATAAAGGACATATGAAGAAAGATGCTGTCTGTATCCAGAGAAAGAACTGATAAATAGAAGTATATATAGAATAATTTTATATACATATGTGTATGTGTCTAATGGTAGTCATCTCTAGGATGGGGCAAAGTGGAGGAGGGAAGAAAAAAAGAAATTTACATGATGACTTTATTATATTTTTAAAAGGAATAGCAAACTATACATAACAGATTTGCAGTTTCATGTGCAATTTTTTATTATACTATGTTATGGAAATATTTGTTTTATTCCATAAATTAAAAATAAAATAAATTTTAAAAATTAAAAAAAAGAATAAATGATGGGAGTTTGTAGCTGCAAATGTCTTGAGTGATGCATATAACTTCTCAGCTAGAAGACTGAATTGTGTTCTTCAACATAGGGCTGCCCTGAAAGGCTGAGCCATATCTTCATTAGAGAGGATTATGAGTCCTTAACCATTTAAGGCATTTGACAGCATAGTATGAAATGGTAGAAAGGATATTGGTCCCTGAATCTGCCAACTTGAATCCCAGGTCTGACAATGGTTAGCTGTTCAGCTATGGACAAATTATATTACTTCTGAGTCTCAGTTTCCTCATCAGTAAAATGGGGGTAGTAATGCTTGTATTACTTATCTCACAGAGTTCTTATGAGGAAAGCTCTTTATAAACAAAATACTATCAGAATATGATATCATCATGACCATCATCATTTTAAATTAGTTACAAAGCACATTATCCATATTCTATTCTCCAGTTTCACATTCCTGTGCTGGCTGTCCAACAGCTTTATTCCAATTTTTCAGTTACAATAACCTTATTCAGAAAGGAATCATAGAAGTGTAAAAATTAGAATGGACCTAAAAAATCTTCCAGTTCAACCCATTCATTTGAAAGATGGAGAGACTAAGGCTGAGAAGGTAAGTGTTTCGTTCAACGCCATACACAGCTCTCTTCCTATGTGTGGTTATATGAGCTTTGAAAGAAAAACTGTCATGAGTGCAGCTGTGAATTGGTTCTATCATTCTGTGAGACAGTTTAGAATTCAGATGAGAGGGTGACTAAAATGTCCATAGCCTTTGGTTCAGAGATTTCCATTTGGCATTCACCCCAAGGAGACCAAAGAGAGAAAGAAAATGTCATACACACCAAAATATTCATAGTAACACTTTGTGCTGTAGCAAAGAGGTAGAAATAGAGTATGTGTTCATTGATTAAAGAAGGGCTGAACAATTGTAGTATGCAACTATGACAGAATATTATTACACCAGAAGAAACAATGAATGTGAGGAATTTAGAGAAAAAATGCAAAGACTTAAGAGAGTTGATACAGAGTGAAATAAAGAGAATCACAATAAATATTTACATGCATACCTTTATACCCATCCTTACACACACACACACACACACACACACACACACACACACAAACTTGAGCTGAATCCTAAAGGAATATAGGGATTAATTCTAAGAGTTGTTCTGAAATTACAGTGACCAGAAATGAAGATGATAAAATGCACCTGTCTCCTTTCATTGGAAAGGTGGGGGACTATGGATATGGCGTGTTGCCAATGATGTTAGGTGTAATTATTTTGTTGGTTGTTTGGCTGACTTTTTTTTTCTTTTTTTTCAATCTTTCTTATAACCCAGGGGACCAAGTGAAGAATTTTTGTAGAAATGAATGTGATATAAAACCAAAAGCCAACAGTAAAATAAAATCAAAAATAAGAAAGAGAAGCTATCCATATCCTTGTATGTTCTGTGTCAGATGCACTTTTCTCAGTTTAACCCCACCAGAAATGATGTCTTACTTTTGTGTCTCATTGGGAATTTGTCTTCTATACAGCCATCTTAGAGCCAAGGGCATAAGTCATTTTCATCCTTCCAGCTTGGCGCATTGTAATCAATAGAGCTGGTTGACACGGATTCTAAAAACCAAAAGGGAAATGGATCTTAGGAGTTGGTGAAGAAGAATCCCAGGCCAGAGTCTGGAATGGAATCTCTTTCCATAAATCATCAGGCTTCGCCTTTCATGCTGAGTACAGCCTTCTCCTCTGCAGCTGGAGACTCATGATTTATGCCAGGTGGAAAGCACAGAATGCTGATTCCTCTTATCTCATTCTCTGTATACCTCATGAAGAAAGGATAGCATAAAAATAATATCCTCCTGGGCTGGTAAGTTTTGGTCCTCATTTCCAAGTCCATGCTATTCCATGTCCTTGCTTCTGAGTAGGATTGCCACTGAAACCTTTCCAGAAAAGTAATACTAATACTTCTTAGCAGCTCAGGTGACATGCATGTCAGCTGTGTGCAGAAACACCATTCTCTTTGGGAACTCACTGTTCTCCACACGTACAAAATCTCACTTTTTCTTTTCCCAAATGAGTTTCATGGCATCCCTCTGCCTGAGTTACAGCTACATCTTGTAAGCTCCATTTTGCAGATGTTAAGACTGAGGCAAAGAGCTGTACTTAGCCATGTTCAATGGCAGTGCTAAGACTGGGATCTGATAGCCCTGTTTTGGAACATTCTGATTTGTTATCAGGTCTTCTTTCCATGATACTATATTATGTTTGTCAGGTAGAGCTGGGGTCATGGAAAGTAGTCTAACAAGGTAACAAGTTCAGATGAGATTGCCATCACTAAACAGACTGGGGAGAGTTCTCAGAAGGCCAAGTTTCCAGGGAAAAGACTATTTCTGTACTTCTGGCTTGCTCCTGAGAAGTAGCAAAGAAAAGAATAGGTAGATGCATGCATTCCAATGAAAGCATATATAAGATTACTGAGGCAAATGCTAATTGTCAGGGGCAGAATTGCATGTAGCCTGTTTGCTTTAGTTTATTCCTCTGTGAAGTGGGTATAATAACAGCATCTTTCTCCCAAGGTCATTGTGAAGATAAAATGAGATACTATTTGTAAAAGGCTTTGCAAACCTCAAAGCACTAAGTGCTATTATTATTACCATTGGTTGTTATTATTATTAGTAGTAGTAGTAGTATTGGAGGTAGCTACCTACAGTGGCCTGAGTGTCCTGCAAAGCCTCATTTACCTCCACATATATTCCCCATTTACCTGTTATGGCCCTGGTCATTTTTCCTATTCTAAGAAACCCTGATCCAGGAAGGAATTTGAAAGTGCAATTGATTTGCCTTCCCAGTCAGCAACTCTAGGGATCTTTAAATAAATGGCCAATAGGTTATTATGAGAGTGTTGAATCTCACTAAATAAAACAGACATTTGTACAGAGAGGAGGGATGAGGAGGAGGAAGAGAGATGAAAGAGATGAAAGAGAGAGAGAGAAAGAGGGAGGGAGAGAAAGAGAAAGAGAGGGAGGGAGGGAGGGGGAGATGAGGAAAAAGAGAGAGAGAAAGAAAGAGAGAGAGGGAGAGAAAGAGAGACAGGGAGACAGAACTTTCACAAAAACCAGTAAGTACATGGATCTGTCGGAAATTTTCTAGATCAATACAAACAAGAAAATCTAGTGAAAATGATACCCAAAAACAAGAATATAATTCTAAAATAATAACCCTGAAGACATAGACACAGAAATATTCTAGTGAAGAGGATGGAATAAGGTTACCTCTCCTGGTGCTTCCTAGACCTGCTTACTTGATGTGAGGTCACTGACCCACCTTCAAACCAAACCAAGAGAAAAAAAGAATCAGAGGAAGTGGGGTGGTGATGGGGTGCAAGGAGAGTAAAAAGTATTGAGCAATTCTGACCCCTGAGAAAGGAGAGAGCTCCTAAGTGCTCCAAAAAGAGCAGTGTGTTTTCTGGCATAGAGCCAGAGAGAAAGATGAGTGCGGACCTTCTTCGCACTAAAGAATAGAGGAAAGCATATAGAAACGGTGGATTTGCTGAATGTCTTTTTCCTATCATGTTTTTCCCATACTTCCTGTCTAGCAACTTCAACACTTCCTTCTTTTTGGAGTCTCTATTACCTGGTCTTCAGTTTCTCCTGAGGGTTAGAGAAAAAAAGTGTACCTTCATTCCAGATTTGAAATTCAACAGGAGCACTGTCCTTTTATAAGTGACAGATCAAGTCTGAACCAAGGCCCTTTCTTGTTACCAACAGCAGCTACGTCTCCTCAAGTCCAGTCCCATCATTGCTTATTATTTTATCTGGAGCTGGAAAAAGGAAGATGTTATTACACTCCCATTCTGAATAGTAAGACAGTTATAAGATGTCAACCAATAATTGTAACATTGCCAAGGACAGCTAGGCAGGCAGGTTCCTAATGACCAGACCCCGATCTTATCAGTAGAATTTTGTTAGACAACGTCAGTTTATTATTTCTAGCCTGACTCAGACTTCCTATGATGCTCAGATGTGGTACTTGGAATTAAGAAGACCTGAATTTGAATCCTGCCTCAGACGCTTAACTAGCTGTGTAACCCTAGGCAAGTCATATAACCTCTGACTCTCTCAGTTTCCTTATCTGTAAAATGGGAATATTAGTAGCATCTACCTCCCAGGGTTGTTGTGAGGATAAAATAAGATATTTTTAAAGCTCTTTGTAAACCTCAAAGCACTATATAAATAGTTACATATATGTATGTGGGTATATACATACATGGTTATTATATAAAATTATATATACACTTACGGATACATATAGCTACTATTGTTATTGTTGTTGTTATTGTTATTGTTGTTATATAAATGCCATACTACTGGGTTCCAGCCTCCACCACTGACCTGACACTACTCCTGTGGTGCCCTAGGTTTTTGCCTGGTGAACATTCACCATTTTTGCCCATCCCAAGCTGTTCATACTTCTTTCTGGCCATCTTTATGCAGTGTCACCTGGTGTGTACCCTTTGCTTTCCTTCCCACCTCAACTCAGGGAACACTAACCAAATCAATACTACTGTTCCTAGAAAAGATTCCAGTCACCATCCCCTTGACTTCTCAGACCAAAACACCCTCCTTAGCGATTGCTCACCATATTGTCTTCCCCTATTAGAATGCAAGCTTCTTGTGTTCAGAGACTGTCTTGCTTTTTGTATTTGCATTCCCAATGCTTAGCACAGTGCCTGGTATGTTTATGTTGTTGTTTAGTCATTTTCAGTTGTATCTGACTCTTCATGACCCCATTTGGGGTTTTCTTGGTAAAAGTACTGGAGTGGTTTGCCATTTCTTTCTCCAGCTCATTTTACAGATGATGAAGCTAAGGTAAAAAGGGTTAATTGACTTGCCCAGGGTCACACAGCTAGTAAGTGTCTGAGGCCAGATTAGAATCCAGGTCTTCCTGACTCTAGACTCTGTACTCTATCCACTTCACCACCTAGCTGTCCCCCTAGTATATACTAAGTGCTTAATATTTGCATTTTCATTCATTCAGTTATAGTGAGCATTGTTTTTAGAAAGTACATCAGCTAACCTATATCAGATTGCATGCCATCTTGAGGAAGGGAGAGGGGAAGGAAGGAGAAAAAAATTGGAACTGAAAATCTTGTAACAGTGAATATTGAAAACTATCTTTGCATGTAATTGAAAAAAATAAAATACTATTAAGTGAAGGGGAAAAAGAAAAAAAAGAAAATGCATCAGTTAAAATATATACATACATATTACCTGGGAGAAGGAAGAAGGGAAAAGAGAACCTTGATAATCTCTCTCATTAGCACAGATTAGTTTGTTTCTTTCACTCACTCATCTATCCACCCATTCATTCACTTTAGAAATAGTTGTTGAACAACCAAGATGCTGGTGGAAGATCCAAAGATGAATTGGACAATTTGTCCAATGTCTGGCCTCAGATACTTACTAGCTGTGTGACCCTGGACAAGTCACTTAGCCCTGTTTGCCTCAGTTTCCTCATCTATAAAATGAGCTGGAGAAGGAAACAGCAAGCTATCTTTGCCAGGAAAATCCCAAATAGGTCACAAAGAGTCAGACATGACCAGAAAATTGGAAATAACAACTTGTCATTTGGTGAGGACTTTGGGAAATGGGTGATATGAAAGTTTGATCGTTGGTGAAAGACCTGAAGAAAACCTTCTGGACATTCCCAGTATTGCCTGGAACTGATTTTGTGTATGGTACACTTCTACAATTTGATCCAGGTGGATGGGCTTGGAGTATGAGCATCCTTTGTATCTTGTTTCACTATAGTGCCATTTAATTCAAATATTCAACCCTGTGTGGTTATTGTCCTGGGACTACAAAAGAAGAATTGAGACATTTATTAGATTCTCCTCTCCTTCTTGTACTTGTGAAGTTGATTTCTTTTTTACCCGAGGGCAAGACTTTACATTTATCCCTATTGAATTTCACCAATTCATCAAAATCTTTCTGGATCCTGACTCTCTTATTGAACTGTTAGCTATTCCTTTGAGCTTTGTGTCAAATGCAAATTTGATGAACACACCATCTAAGCCTTTATACAAGTTATTGATAAAATTTTAAACAGCACAGGACCAAGCATAGGTCCCTGGGAAACCCCCACTGGAGATTTCCAGCTAAAATGACATCGAATCATTAACTATTACTCTTTGAATCCACTTACTTAGCTAAGTCCAATACCAATTCTATGTATTGTTATCTAGTCCACATCTCCATATTTTCTATGAGTATAATATGAAATACTTTATCAATTGCTCTAATAAAATTTACATAAACTACACTGTTCTCCTCATTTATCAGTTTGTCAAAACATGAAATAAGGTTAGTCTGGCATGACATGTCTTTGATGAGATCAATTCTTGCTCTTTGTAGTTGTTACTTCCTTCTCTAAATGTTCGGTAACCATCTTTTCAACAAATTTCTAGAAAATTTCCATCAATTGAAATCAAGTTCATTGTCTTATAGATTGCGAACTCTATTCTCCCCATCCCCTGCCTCTTTTTTGAAAAATTAGACATTTTAATGCTGTTTATTTAAGGGACGAGGTAATATGCTACTGATTGCCTTTTCCATGATCTTTCTTTTAAAAATACATCTTTTACTGAAACCTTTGGTTTTCGTATCAGCTGAAATTTCTCACCTTATTTCTCCCCTTGTCCAAGGAGCCTCCCATTACCAAGAAACAAAATTCCACGATCTTCAGATGTAATGGACAATCTCTTGGCAATTACTTATGCCAGTTAGTTCTTTCAGCACTCAAGGATGTAGCTCACCTGGGAAAGGTGACTAGAATTGATCCTGGGCAGCTATACCCTCTTACAATCATCTGCCTTACCTTGAGCACTTAAGATACTTCTGATAACCATTTTTGTTTCATAATTCTTAGTGCAAAGGTCATTTTCCCTGGCAGAGAAAAGAGGAACAACCAAAATAAGAATGAGAAGTTCTGTTTTCCCTCTCTCTAAAAAAAAAAAGCTCACTTTTTTGTTGCCTTTGGCTTCCCTTGCCAGTCTTAGCACACCAAAACCAATTTTCTTCTTTAAACAGGACTAAGCAATAGTAACAATAAATTAGAATTTTGATAGTGCCTACCATGTGCTAAGAGCTTTATAAATTTTATCTCATTTGATCCTCACAACAACCCTGGGAGGAGGTGCCATTATTATCCCTATTTTATAGCTGAGGAAACTGAGGCAGAGATTAATTGACTTGCCCGGGGTTGAACAGCTAATAAGTGTCTGAGGTCAGATTCTAACTCAGGTCTTTCTGATTCCAGGCCCAGCATTCTATCCACCGTGCTGCCTAACTAACCTTATTCATATCTATCTATCTAGATAGATAGATAGATAGATAGATAGATAGATAGATAGATAGATAGATAGATAGATA